TTCTGTCACCCCTACTACAGATTTTGGTAATGATCAAGCAATTTTGTATCGCTCATATTAAATCGCTCAAATCAAAATATTTTCAATATTCATTTTTAACTTCCCGTAGGGCAAGTTATAACTATATAGTAATCGCAAAAAAATCAAAAATGAAAATTTTTATATATCTTTACGTTTCAGAGGTTTCTGAGCATTTTGGCATACCTTAGAAAAAATGGTTGTATGTGTGTGTGTGTGTGTGTATGTATGTATGTATGTATGTATGTACGTGTGTGTATGTATGTGCGGATACAAATTTTCGTCAACGATTTCGGGAACACGGATCAACCGATTTGAATAATTCAAAAAACATTCGATTTGTATTGATAAGGAGACGTGCTGATTAGTTTTTGGCGAAGGCAGGTCTAGCCGTTCCGAAGATACGGGCCAAAAAGTGCCGAAAACGGTAACTCAGTTTTTAAGAGAACGGAGCGTGCGATTTGAATAATTCAAAAAATATTTCACTTGTATTGACAAGATGAAGAATCCATGAAATTTTCATAAAGGTAGGTCTAGCGGTTTCGGAGATATGGAGAAAAAAGTAAAAAAATGAGCCATTTGGCGGTCAAAAATGATCATTAGACATATGCACATCAAATTATCAGATATTTTATAGAGATTTTAACAATAAGTATACATTTTGTTAACATTCTTATGGGTTCCGTACCAATGCTTATGCGTTAGACAGCGACGCGGCGCTTACGCGCTTTATATTTTGTTCCTATGCAGTTAAAGCAGTACGATTGCTTCGAAAAAAAAGTTCAGATCTTCCACAATATGTCAAAATAAAGAAAAAAAAATTTTTTTTCAAAAAAAAAAAAATTTTTTTTTTTTTTTTTTAATTTTTTTTTTTCAAAAAAAGTAATTTTTTGTCAAATTTATAGTTTCTCAAAAATCTTATTTTTTCAAAGTAAATTTTGTTCAAAAATGTTAATTGTTTTTAAAAAAATAATAATTTTTGGTACGGGAAGTTCCAGAAATTTGCCTTAAGGCACGATGCCTTAATTGCCTTAAAACAGAATTCCACTCACAGCTAGTTATATTTTTCGATTGTGTTCCACATGACATATTTATCAGGAAACTGGAATATTATGGATTTAGAGGCGTAGCCCTTAAACTTACGCAATCATGTAACAAGTATGAGTTTGTGGAATGGAACAATAAACAAAGTCAGATAGCAAGATTAAATGCAGGGGTTGCCCAAGGGAGTATTCTTGGACCACTTCTTTTTATCATATTTGTGAATGATCTACCACCGAACATTAGCTGCCACATAACGCAATTTGCAGACGACACGGCATTGGCGGTTGCGGACGAGAACATCAAGCAAGTTGAAAACTGGTTTTCAGCCAACAAAATTGTACTAAACAATAGGAAAACAGTCCATATTAACTTTACTTCTAGTAAAGCTGCATGGAGGGGAAGTTAAATATTTGGGTCTCACTATGGACAGCCTGCTAACCTGGGCGAAGCACATAGATTCAATATGTACTATGCTATCAAAATCAATATATGCCATCAGAAGAGTTAGACACATTATAAATGAGGAATGCGCCAGAGAGGCTTACTTTGCCATGTTTCACTCTGTGTTCTCATATGGAATATTGGCATGGGGACACTCGGTGAATACCTCCTAGATAATGGATTTACGGAAGAAGACTGTAAGGGCAATCGGAGGGGCCTCACCTCGGGAGCACTGCAGACCCTTGTTTACTAAATTTAGAATACTGACTGTTACCAGCTTTTACATCTACCAGCAGGCGATTGCGGTCCATGCAGACAGAACAAACCATGTACTGAGGAGTGACGTCCATGGCCACAACACGCGGTACAGGTGTGCTGTTGTACCTCCAAAATTGAAGCTGAAATCTTCGCAAAGGAACAAGCTGGGTGTCGAGATCTACAACAGGCTCCCCAATGAGTGGAAAAGTAAAAGCAGGAATGGTTTCAATGCTGCCGTTAAAAAGCATCTTATAGATCAACCTATCTATTCAATTAATGAATTTTTTAATCCAAGATAAATATTAATTGTCATTAGGTTAATCTTAGAGTTGTTCATAAACATAACTGATATTAGTTTCGTTATATTATAGTATAATTGTATTGACTTAAATTGTAAATATTGAATTTGAATAAAGTATCTATCTATCTACCTATCTATTACTGCAAATAATGATAGAAACTAAATTTCAATATAAATCTTGCATTTAAGCTTAGAATTTTATTTGTGATCAAAAACAATGCAGTATTTTTTCAAATCATCAATTGATTGTTTAAAATTAACATTATAATTAGGTCTATTTTTAACACATTTAATTTTTAGTTCGGTTTTAATTATTTAATATGCATTGATATTAATACGGACTGCAGTCACTACTGTGTAATTAATAATTAATTAATTATTAATTAATAATTTGTTAACGCAAACATTAATTAATTTATCTTAATAATTTTTAAATTGTTTAACTACTTCACTACTTGTATTAAATTTCAACAACCTGTCTTATTACGGATTTTTTAGTTTAAAATTCGTGTATACATGTATTCTTATTTTTTAATGTGTAACAAATATATCCAATAACTTGGCGAAAGGAGACAATGAAAACTTTTGATGATATGCAGTTGTTATTCAGGATATGATCAAATATAGTATAACAAAAGCACTGAAAACAAAGGCAAATGTAAACTAATACGCAGGAGCAAATTTGACGAGCAATTTGAGCTATGATGACAAGCTTGCTTGCATTACCAAGAATTATAAATGGGTATTGTTCTCAGAATTGTTTTCATTCCCATAATATATGTACAATATGCAAAAGCTTAGTTGGAAAAACACCTCTAAAATAAATATCCTGTCGAATTGGTAAACTTTTTGCATTGTCTAATAATCGAATAACAACGAATTGAATGCATATATATGGATATTAATGCAATGCCTTAAGCCTTAAATGCGAACAACCTCTTTAATCGGATGTACGCGATGTAACAAGATATTGGCGAAAGTAAATTTATAAGAACTATTGGAAATGCTTCATGCACATTGAGCAAACTACATCATTTATAGAGATTTAAAAAATACAACTTATAAATAGTTAAAATTTAATGTTACAAAACTAAACAACCACCTAAATGAGAACATTAGCTTCTCATGTTCCAGATTCACTAAATTATAACTGCTTCAGTTCTTCCCATTTTTTTTTACAAATTATTTGCGAAAATTTACCATTTTAGTTTTGTTACTTTTTTTGTTATTATGTTAACAGTTTGAGCTAATTCAAATATACATATGTACTTTGCTCGTGTTTCAAAGCATGCGATATTGTTTTGATTCACTGAATTTCTTAGATAATTGTTTGCAATAGAATAGTAATTAGTCAAACTCATTTAAATACAAACTGGTATCTACGGTATTTTACGTTTTTTTTACAATTTTAAAAATGAGTTACAATTGATGCCTCTACACTAGAATACCCCATTTTGTGAACAGTGTACTCTTAAAAATGGATTTTGGCTCGACAGTTTAATCCGATCTATTTTTGATTATCTATTCAAGTAAATTATTGCAAGCCGTTGTGGCGATCAAAAATATTAAGCAAACATGTGTTGCAAAAAGAACTCACGTGCAGTCGTAGCTGGATGATCCAATTCATTTTTCAAATTATACATTTTTCAAGCTGATAGTTTCAAACTGTCAAAAAATTAAATTATGTTTAGATTGTCTAGATTAATTTTATACAAGTAATTCTGTTCTATTACGTACATATATATGAATATTTATGTCATGATGGATGCTTTTTTTTATTTTTTATGGTTTTTCACTTTTTTAAAAAAAATATAGATCTTTATTATTTTTTTTTGTTTGAATTGAAATTTAGATATTTAGATAAAATTTTTAACTGTTTATTTCATAAAAGTTGCCGCTCTCAATTAAATCTGAACAATGCGATTGCGAATAGAACTTACTCAAACACATTTAAATTAACTGTAATTATATTAATTATATTGCAGAGACACTGCTTGTATGCACTAAAATTGTAAATTATAATGATTTATCTTATAAACCGCAATAAAATTTAGTATTATTCCCAACCAATATTTTTCAAAAAAAAAATTGATTTTTTAAAATCGACTCAGATTTGATAGCTAAAACGTGAACGAAAATTTTTTCACTTTTCTGCTATTTACATAGAAACGACTCAGCCGATCGTTGCACAAACTGAGAAAAGATAATAAACATCGAGATACATAGATTGGCTTTCGAATTTTTGAAATCGGTTCAGGCCTTTTTAAGCAAACGTCGATGAAAGTTCTAATTTTGACAAACGCCAAAAAAAACGATACTACTTTTTGCAAACTTTGACGATTGTTTAAAATTAATAAACGACTTGTAAGGCCGTAATATTTCAGTATGACCTATAACACTACGGAATCTACAGTCATAAAATCCATAAAAATCGTCGATTTTTTTTTCAGCAGTTAATTACAAGAAGTTGTGCTAGCGAATCTTTATCAAAAACTAATCAATTTAATTTCGAGCGATTTTTGAATGTTTAAAATCGATTCAGAAATACGGGCTAAGTCATTTTTTTTTTACTTTTTAAAAAAACGGTTAGGCCGATCGTCGCGCATAAGTGACAATCGCTAGTCTTCATCGGGAAGTTAATAAAGAAAACAGGCATTGGTGGCTTTGATTGTTTTATCGTCAGCTTATATTTTGTAGTCATATTATTTTACTTTGGTTTTAATAAACCATAAAATGAGAACTCTATTGAATGCTATATTAGGAATAGAACTCCGAGGTTAAAATATATACATATATTTATCTGTTCTTTGAATATATTTATCGCATCGTTTGCGAAAACTTTGTCTGTGCATTGCTGCCAACGTTTAAATTCTTTTACTTGGACGCTTATGTTGGCGTCAGTTCTATTCTGACATAGACTCAGAGCGAGACTGTCATTATCGCGGCGTGCTTAATTTCGATTGATCGTTCGCTCGTTCTTTGTAGAATTCAAATAGAGGTTATGTCGGTGTTTAAAACATGTTTATATCGAAATGTATTATAAGTTAAAACTCCATGACGATAAATGTACTTGTCAGCGTTTTATTATTTTTTAAAGTAACGCAAGCCGTTTTAAATCAAAATAAATTTTAATTATATATAAAATATAACCAAATATGACGGATTGTCAAATACACAATGTGCGGTTTTATAATCTGGAACCCAAGATGATTAGCTGTTTGGCGTATTGTAAACAGAATTCGAAACTAGCATTAACAAGGCATAATATACATTTTACTCATGTTTATTTATCCCTATAGTATATCAAGTAATGTTTATATTATTTCCAAAGACAAGATGCTTCAATAGAAATTTGGGATTTATCATATGCCCCTCATTTGGAAAAAACAATACAAGGCACTGCTGATGGTTCTATTGAAGCTATTGCATGGTCTCGAGGAAGATTATTGTCGACAGGTCTGGGGGGTTTTCTAGTACAATGGGATTTGCAACTATTGAAACCTAAGCGAACATTGGCAGTTACTGGAAATGCTGCATGGTGTCTTGATGTGAATAGAACTAATACACAAATTGTTATAGGTAAATAGAAGTATTTTTAGTTAAAATCAATCTATAGCTTGAATTATATATATTACTGATCATTGAGTACATTATATATAGACATATAGACTTTATTTAACTTCAATACTTACAATTTCTTTAAAGGCATAAAGACCAGCACATAGTCTTAAAGAATAATGTACATTTTGATTGACAATAAATATATGCATACCAAAAAAAAAATACAATTTAAGTCAATACAATTATTATTTCTATTACAATATTAAAATACATCTAATGATATTTATGAACAACTCAAGGATTAACCTAATAATTAATAATTAACCTAGATTAAAAACATTATTAATTGAAGAAATAGATTGTTCCATAAAATATTTTTGGATAGTCACATTGAAGCAGTTCCTGCATTTACATTTTCATTCATTGGGAAGCCTGTTGTAAATGTCGACATCTAGCTTATTCCTTTGCGAGGATTTTAGCTTCAGTTTTGGTGCTACAGCAGCACTTATGTTCTGCATGTAGTGGTCATGGATGTCACAACTCAGTACATGTTTTGCTCTGTCTGAGGAGTGACATCAATGGTCATATATAATAATAATAATAATAAATGGTAGTCTGCCCGAAGGCAGGACAGGTGTGAGAGCCACCACAACAAATGATTTCCTTGCCCTTCATCCCATTACCACTATTCCCTATCTCCATTTTTTATTTCATGTATTTTCCTTGATCATGTGCTTCGGCTTTCCGTTCCTTGTATTTTCTCTTCTCGCGTAAGTCGTCAATTGTCTGCATTCTTCTCCTTCCCATTCCTTTTGTTCCTTCTATTTTACCTTTGACGACGTCGTGTAGGAGGCACTCTTTTTGCAAAAGCGGTCTGATTCAGTTTCCTTTCCTTCTCAGCATTGTGCTCAGTAGAGTCCTTTGTTCGCCCACTCTTCTTAGGACTTCTTCATTTGTTACTTTGTCTGACCACTTTATCTTTTCCATTCGCCTCCAGCACCACATTTCATATATATAATGTCTCGGGTCATATATATATATATATATATATATATATATATATATATATATATATATATATATATATAATATAAAATAAAGTTTGCATGTGTGTGTGTCAAAATGTCTGAACCGATTTAAAAAATTTAACATCATTTGATGTGGCTCAATAGTTTTGCGCGACGATCGACCGAGCCGTTTCTTTATAATCAGCAGAAAAATTTAAAAATTTTCCACAATCTTGAATTAATTTTAAAAATTCAAGAACTATTTGTTAGATATTTGTTGGGAATCGTGGTGATTAGTTTTTGGTAAAGATAGGCCGGGCTGTATCTTTGTAATTATTGGAAAGCTTTATTTTAATTTATTTATTTATTCTTTAATAAAGATACATTTTTGAATATTTTAGGAACCGAGCAAGGATATCTAAATCTATTTACTATTAGTAATGACGATATTATATATGATAAAATTCTTGATAAACAAGAAGGAAGAATTTTATGTTGCAAATTTAATACTACTGGAGAATACATAGTAACAGGTATAAAGTTTTTATTTTGATTAATTGTAAACATTGATTTTATTGATTATTAAAGAACTTGAAGCAGCATATTTGGTCATATGGTTATTCTCAGTTATTGAAATTTATTTTATATTGTTTTTGTAGGTTCAGTTGATATAATTAGAATATGGAATTCGAAATCTGGTCATGCCATACACAAAATGACTACAGGCCGATCTGAAAGCAATAAAGAAACCATTGTTTGGTGTCTTGCTGTAACTGAAGACTTCACAATTATATCTGGTGATTCGAGAGGAATAATAACTTTTTGGGATGGGAATCTTGGAGCTCAAATTGAATCCTTGGAAACACACAAAGCAGACATATTGACAATGTGCTTAAGTGATGATCAACAGTCATTTTATTGTGCCGGTGTTGATCCAAACATATCTCATTTTGCTAGAATTAAAGTTAAGAAGGGCGAGTCTGGATATGTTTACAAGTGGGTTAGAAGTGTTCATAGGAAAATACATGATCATGATGTGAGAGCATTGACTTTATGTGAAGGGAAAGTTGTCAGTGGTGGGGTGGATTGTTACTTGAATATATCTAGTTATCCTCCTAAAACATTGCACAAATATCCACCTTTGTTGCAGAAGCCCTGCGTAACTGTATGTACAGAAAGCAGACTTCTTTTGTTACGGTACAGTTGACCTTTAGTTCTAAAGTTGTTCTAATATATATCAATTTTTACTTTTGCTTGACTATTTGCGACTGTAATTTTTTTTTTAAGATAATTATGTAGTTGATATTTAAACACAAGGCATATAAGACATTCCTTAAAAAAAGCTGATATTATTATTATCTCCAGTAAAAAATAATGGAATCCTTTATAGCTGAGTTAATAATAAATATAAGGGTGTTCATGATTTAATATTTATCAGCATGATGATTGCTTAATGAATATCAACCTGAATTTCTGGAAACGACTTAATTTATAATTGCATTATTTGCAGGCATCATTCTCACATGGTAGTTTGGAAGTTAGGCGAAGCCAAACAAAACCAACCACAAACTGCAAGAACTATTCCCTTAGAAACTGTAAGTTCATACATTGTATTGCTGCTAAGTACATAGAATAATCATATAATTTTTAGAACTGATTTTTTTTTTAATATATAATCACAGAGTCCTCAGAAATTATTGCTGATGTATAGTAAAGGCAGAGAGCACATAGTTTGTTGCTCTTTAAGTCAGAATGGAAAGTGGTTAGCTTATAGCACAGATACTGCTTTTAGAATTTTCAAATTTATCTTGAATGTGAGTATTAATGTTATGTTGATCAAGTTTAGTGAATTGTAACTCTAAACCTTCATTCACTCTTGGCGAGTGAATATAAATTTAGTTGTGTTGTAATTTTTAATTAATATTATAATTTTTAGGACAATGATATGTGCACTATTGAAAGGATGGGATTTTATATACCTGAATTTGTTTATGCCACTAGAATAGAGTTTACTAAGGATAATTCATTTATAATTGTTGTTACAAGAAAGATGACTCTAGAAGTAGCAATGTTAACAAAAGATGAAGTTAGTCATGTTCAAACCATAGATTTATCTTCAGGTATTTATTTTGATTATTTGTTTCATTTATATATTCTATACTGGAAATTTAATTGATTGAAGGAAGTTATATTTTGATATGATTTCAACGAATTTAAGAACATTTAAAGAACTTGGCAGCAAAATAAGTATTGAATTTCAGTTGCCCAAGATTTCATATTGAAAATTATTTCTATTTAATTATTTATTGTTATAATTATTCATATTTTCATAATGCTTATCAGTGTATTTTGTATTCTATGAACAAATTATTTTACAATAATCTATCATCTAGTATTCAGTGATCTGGTACATATCCTCAATGTATCAGAAAATTATTTGGTACTTGCTGCATTATGTGGAGGACTTGCAACTTACACTCAAAGTTCAGATGGTCATTACATTCCACATCGAGTTTTGCCACGTTATCATTGCCCTGTTACAGCTTTAGGATTATCACCTTTTGATCACCTAGTTGCAGTTTATTCGGACCATAAGGTATTTGTTATTGTATTATTTAGTTTCATTAAATTCCTGGAGGAGAAGTTTGTGTTTTTGCCTTAAAATCCGATTCGCTAATTTTTCTTCTTCTCGTTGTAAGTGCACCTGAATCGAATGAGACCAAAGGGTATGGGCGTGTTTCCATACAGAATTGGCCCCACCCTGGTATTCAAATAATTTTGATGCCATTTTATTGGTATTTTCGAGAAAATTCGAAATACCAAATCTCAAATCCGTAGCTCATCATTTGGCCGAGATATCAGTGAAAACATGTGAAAGTGGTCCCTTTTTTCAAACTCACTTTTTGTCGGAAATATGAGAGATATCGAAAAACTGTTAACGTCCAATTTTCCAATTTCTACCAGTGCGGCTTTTTTGACTACTTTTATATTAGCATTATTCGAAAGCCTGTACATTTTTCTTCTGTTATTTAAAAATTCATTTAAATCTAAGTGGAACTTTGGGAGAAAAGTTGGAAAAACTTAAGCTAGTACGCGCGCTGCCGGTACAAGAACACCCATATAAAGTCGCTTTGCAAGAGCGACGAGCAAGCATTTCGCGCGGCTCGACAAATTATGTATATAAGTATGGAAATATTTATTAAAAACCAAAATTTATTTATATCTTGTATATAAGTATATTCATTAATCATAATAAAAAATCCAACGCGTCGAATACAACAATAATTATTATTATTGATTATTTTCATTCGCCGTATAAGTTCTGACTAATATATTTCAATATATGAAAAACTTAAGATTTCATTATTTTTCGTATATTAAAAGTATATTGAAAAATATACCTCTGTGAGCAATTTGTTTACACATAGAATTTCACAAATTATAATTATTGTGGTTTTCCATGGAGAATAGGTAAAATAGCAATTATTATTTTTTAAATCGATATTAGTTTTGCAAAAAATATATTTTATTTTCTGTTCACTATTTATAACTTGACTGAAATTGCAATAATTTCACATTTTAGTGACAATTTTATCATGATATCGAAAAATTGCAAGTATTACAATAAATATTTACATAGAAAGGGAATTAAATTGAGAAAACTGTGGATGATGCAGAATTGTATAGTAGTTACATAGAAAAAATAATTATAATTGTTTTTACTATTCGCTGAAAAAATAATAGTTGTCATTTGGATAGCCATAATAATTATAATTTTAACAACAGAGATATATTTTTTGTAATATACTTTTAATACTTTATATATTTTTAATACTTATATACTTGCGTTGAATAGCTAGGAAATGATTCTGACTATACATTGCAAAAACTCAAAAAAGGTGATGAATTAAAATTAAAATACTTCTTATTGCCGACTTAAATATATGAAAAATATTGAAATCTTAAGTTTTTCATATATTAGTCAGAAGCTTATATGGCGAATGAAAATAATCAATAATAATAATTATTGTTTTATTCGGCGCGTTGGATTTTTTATTATGACTAATGAATATACTTATATACAAGATATAAATAAATTTTGGTTTTTAATAAATACACCTAAGTCTGTTTTTACACGGTAGATTGGTTCCAGAAGAAGCCATGTAAAAAAAAAACGTGTAAAAAAAGACATTGATCTTATACAAAAATGGGTGATTTGTTCCTAATCTCTAAAACCTATTAAAATTAGTGAAAAACAAGAATTTTTAAGAACAAGAATTCATGTTTATTTTATTAAATCAAATATATAATGCTTATTTTCACAAGCATAGTAATTAATGATAAAAAAGTTATGCACTCTAATCTTAAAAGTAATATAAATTAAATGTATGGCAAGTTCAGGAACTAAAAAACTATGTTGTGAATGAAAAGAATAGGTTATTCAATTTTTAAGGTTTCCCTAAATTAGTGCTATTCACATTTGCTTTGACCAGTAAAAATTATTTGTACGCGCTAAAGGGGAATTCACTTAAATCTTTAAGCTAGCGTTCGCAAACTATCGATGGTTTCAGACTTTTTTCTTTCATAAATACTTTTTTGTGATATGAACATACTTCGCAAAAATTAAATTTGACAAAAAAAAAATTAAGTACATAAAATTTCAAATCGTGCTAAATGGAATAAAATCGTGTAAAAAAATTAAAAATATTCAATTTTCAAACCGTGTTATATTAAAACCGTGTACAAAAAGACCGTGTAAAAACAGACTTAGGTGTATTTCCATATTTATATACAGATGATGTCGCGACGCGCGATAACGACGAGCTTTATGCTTGCTCGTCGCTCTTGCAAAGCGACTTTATATGGGTGTTCTTGTACCGGCAACGCGCGTACTAGCTTAAGTTTTTCCAACTTTTCACCCAAAGTTCTACTTACATTTAAATGAATTTTTGAATAACAGAAGAAAAATGTACAGACTTTCGAATGATGCTCATATAAAAGTAGTCAAAAGAGCCGCACTGGTAGAAAATGGAAAATAAAAAATCATTTTCACCTTTTCACGCACTAACAAATAATTTTTTCACATTATTTGTTATGAACAACATAGACAAGATCAGTATAAATAAAATGACGTTCACAGTTTTTTTGATAACTTTCATATTTCCGACAAAACGTGAGTTTGAAATAAGGGGCCACTTTCACATGTTTTCACTGATATCTCGGCCAAATGATGAGCTACGGATTTGGAATTTGGTATTTCAAATTTTCTCGAAAATACCTATAAAATGGCATCAAAATCAATTAAATACCAGGGTGGGGCCAATTCTGTATGGAAACAGACCCTTTGGGAAAAGGATGTGTTTTGTGTGTGTATGTGTGTGCATGAGAGCCGATACAAAAATTTAAAAGCCACACAATGTCACAAGGTTTTTTCAAAAACCTCTGAACAGATTTCACAAATGGTCTGATCATGTTTTCGTACAGAATTGGCCCCACCCTGGTACTTGAATGATTTTGATGCCATTTTGTAGATTTTTTCGAAAAAAACTGATATACCAATTTTCAACTCCCTATGTCATCATTTGGCAGAGATATCATTGAAAATATGCGAAAGTGGGCCCTTTTTTCGGAGTAACTTTTTGTCACAGCTGTAAAAGATATCAACAAATAAATAACGCCATTCTATTCACATCGGTGTGGACTATAATTTTAAATAATCATTTGTTAGTTTATGAAAAAGTCCAAACAATTTTTTGTTCAAAATTTTTGGATGGTGCGGTTGTTTGGACTAATTTTTAATTAGCATCGTTAGAATGGTTATTCGTTTTTCTTATGCTGTGCAATCTTTAGCTTTAGTCCATGTGGTAGAACACATTCAAAAATTGAAAAAAACCTTAGCAAGTCGTCTCTTGATTGCAAAGGCGAGCAGAGCACTGTGAAAAGAGTGTTGAAAATTGGTACATCGCATTTTTTCGAAAAAAGCTATAAAATGGAATGAAAATCATTTAAATACTAGGGTGGGGCCAATTCTGTATGGAAACTCAATCAGACTCTTTAAAAGCTATTGCAATATACTCGATAAGGAGGGGCCGCGATTAGGTTTGCATTCGGCTAAGCCAGGAACTCTCAACAAGAAAATGCTTTTTTGTTTTCAACATTTCATAAAAATCTTGTTATCTGATGCTTATGGATTTGTGCATTGTTCACAGAAGTTAATTAATAATCGTCTGTATAGATTCTTTATATTTGTGTCACTTAACGAGAAGCCTACAAAGCTTCCCTAGTTGTGTAAAAATTGTTGCCATGAATTTAAATGATTAAACAATATCAAAACGTACATAACATACGTAATTGTGACAGTATTTTTTTATACTAAATGCTCTTGATTTTACAAATTAATTCATTAAATTTCTTAAGAAAAATGACGTTTTTAATGAAATACAACGTGCGATATAGGTCCATGCACTGAACAGCCCTACGAAAATTGGTTGAAATATATAGATTAATTAAATTTTGGAATAGGCTGCAATTTTAGGACATAAAAGCCGCGTGCTATATAACTGTTACAGATGTTTTATTTACAAATATATTATAAATGTATTTGAGAGATATCAATTGGAAATCGCTATGTTTAAATTTAAGTGAAAGTGAAAACTTTATTTTTGAAATATTACTTATTGGGAAGTTTTTGCAACTTGCCTGAAGGCAAAATGCCACTTTCAACTAGTTTTATTTTTCAAAATTATATTGATTTTACTAATATATCTCTTCCTTTGTTTTCAATACTATCTTAAAAAAATAATAAAATGATACCCTAATTAATTATTAGCTATAACTAAATATATGATTTATGGTTTAACAGCATAAATCTTATTAGATGCATTTTTACTTTGCAGATGATAGAATATGACCTAAATAATCAGCAATTTACAGAATTCTCTCAATTTTTATCAAGTCGTCATCCTCGAGATTGGTTAAATAGATCTACAATTATAGAGCATGTAACTTTTGATCCACTTAAAAAAGAGATAATATTACTTCATGACGATACCATGATATGTGTCATTGATAAAGTTAAAGCATTTAAGGTGTGTATATATACTTTTATCTGACCTATTTCTTTCATAATGTTCATAATACTATATATTTTATTTACAATATTTCATTTGTTCTTTCAATTTGAGAATTTGAAACTACACCCTTGCTTCTTATATTATATATTTTAAACATACGAATAATATGGAGCCTAAATGGTTATGATTTTAATTGAATAATAATTGATGTTTATACCAATTGTTATTGATATTTATTTTAAGCAATTGGTATAATCTTACTACATGATACATTAATTGATATTAATAATAAAATAGTGATCTTTTATGTAATTGGACTCTTTTTTATTTGAATAAAGCAAATGGCTGAAGACAATTCGAAGCTTATGAAATTAGATCAGAATGGAAGCAATGGCGATTCATCTCAAACTAAACCACAATTTAAAATTATAAAGAAATATAAGGTATTTTCTCTATAATACAATTTATATAACGTAATAGACTTGAGATTGAACTTATTTTTATTTTTAAAGCATCTTGTCCATCTTGGTTGGTTAGCAGAAAAAGAAATGGTAGCTGTAGAAATAAATCCTTTGACATTGACCGAACAATTACCACCCCCAATTTATGAGAAGAAATTCGGTTGTATGTAATGTGCCTATACAAAGTTGTTTTCCTTGTAACTTATGATTAAGTTATGAATAAAAATTTATATGATTATAAATGGTATGTTTAATTCATTGTAATCTTTGCTCATGTTCATAAAAATTGACAAACATGGACATAGTTTGTATAATAATTGAAATGTGATCTCCGAAAACTTCAATTAATGCCATTTCCATCATTTTTTTCGTCTTACTCATGCTCTCCTTTATTTAAAAATTTAGAAATAAGACTGCTTCTTACTAATTGTGAGATATTTTCATCAATCATATTTCCATTTTCAGTGAGAGCATCTTTTATAGAGAGGGATGGTTTTTCATCATTTTTAAACACATCAAATTCACTAATTTGTTCACCAGTATCTGCTCGTAAGTAGTTCCAAGCTAATAGAAATAGTTACATATTTTAAAGCCAAGTCTATCGACTTGAATCCATAAATTTTTAAATATAACAGGATCATTTTGTATTATAAAGCAGTGTATGATATGATTTCTGTTTGTATACCTATAATTTTTATCATAGCTTCGGTAGCACAGTGCACTGTTTGCTTAATAGCTTGCTTCTCCAAATATTTTATAAATATTTTTTCAAAAGTATAATCATAAATCTCTTTTTGCAATTGATTTATAAACTCAGTGTGAAGGTCTAGATTACTTTTATTTACTATAATGGATGGACTGGCTTGTTTTGTAGAGCTGAAATAAATGCAAAAATTATTTATTTAAAATTTTGTTTTATATGCAAAATATGATTGTTATATTCAACATAAAATTAGCATTATTATATATGCATACATATTAATACTTATATATCAGTATAAGATTAACATCATATGCATATAATATATATAAGTTAATTATGTCTAAATTATATCCTGTGTTATCAGAATTGGTTAAAGAGTAAAATTATTAAAACTGGGGGTAGTGTGAAATTAATATTTGCAGCAAACCAATATAATAATAACCCAAGGTGATATTTAATGATTATTCCTTTTCTATATGAATATGATTTTGTTATCTATATAAAATATGAAATCGGCATCTATCAATAGATACAATATAGATCTTAGTTTCAATAATGTTATTAATATATTTGATATCATACGAAGTGACGGATATTTTTGAAGATTTACTGGCTCTGCTTTGTTTAATTTTTGATCCTCTAAGCTCAGCTGAGTATTGTTTACTAGATCTTCGACTCATTATAAGTTAAGCAATAAGAAGTAATATAATGATTTAAGACTCCAATGCCAATTTTTATAAAATGAAAGTGATTTTTATGTGGCAACTAGATACAATCCAGAAGCAAGAATATTTTGTTTCAACTTTTTTTTTTTATAAAAATTTGAAAATAGTTATATTATTATTTGTAAGTTGATCAATTTGATAGTATTTATCAAAAGTTTATCTTTACATTTACATATTTTGTATTGCATAATAAGTGTATTATTGTGAGACATCTGTGGGCGTAATAATCACGTTTGACATTTGACGTTTGTCATAGAGAAGTTCTGTGAAATCTTGTGATTTAATCGAAAGTTCTAGTTTACAGAATAATATAATAATTCGTTTATCAATTTGAATGCATAACATCACTGTTATGCATAAACTGTTAAAAATGTTGAACACACCACCTGGAAGCATACTGAACAATTTAGTGTCAACTAGATCGTCGTCATTGTATTCGGCCCAGAACTTGTTGAGCGCCGATAATCGTACGCGCTGCATGTCTCTGCTGAAATCGATGAGTCAGATTCGTATGTCCGCCGACGAGCCGAAAGAGCGCTCTGCCGTCTTGATACCGTTGTGCGTAGTAGATAATGAGGTTTCATTGTTATATACGGTCAGATCCTTAAATTTAACTAAGCACAGGGGTCAGGTGTGCTTCCCAGGCGGAAAGGAGGACAAATCTGATGCATCACTAGAAGAGACAGCATTGAGAGAAACTGAAGAAGAATTAGGTATTTCTAAAAACAACATCGAAGTCTGGGGAAGTGGCAAAAGCATTATCGGACGGTTTCCGCCATCAATACTGCCAGTCGTCGGTCTAATACGTGATTTTGAAAATTTAATTCTGAACATAAATGAGACGGAAGTCGAGAAAGTATTTACCGTGCCTTTGAAAGATTTATGCGATTGCAATAACATTGGGCATACCCAATTTCGATACTATAGCACCCCGGTTTATATGGCAGGAGAGGAACGGATTTGGGGACTAACGGCCATGATAACGCATGTGTTTTTGAATTGCTTGATTCCTAACAACGGTTACAAATACAAGTTGAAATTCATACGTCCATTGCAAAAACCGCTGAAAGCAAGCTTGTGACGAATGTGATTAATATGAAGGCCTTTTGATATTTTTGTCAAAATTTGGGAATGTGTTTATTATTATATTGAACGTGTACCTGAGATGAATACTGTTGTTAAACTTGTATATTCCGAAGTTGTATGTGTTATATTTTTATTGTTATATATTTTTAAATAAATTTTGGATGAAATATTATTATGCTCCTATTCATATCATTTTTATCATACTTCTATTTTTATTAATTATTCGGCAGTTGATATAAAATAAATAATTACCCAATAACAAATGCTGTGTTGTTATATTTTATATCTTCAGTATTAAATTACAAAAGAATTACACAGGTGCACAAAATAAAAAAAAGAGTGCGCGTAAGGTTCACACGCGATTGAAGTAAAACTTATTTGCTACTGTACAAGATGGCATTTGAGTAAAAATAAATACATCATATAACAATTTTGAATAATGTTTATTAGTAATATTAGTAATATTCGTGATGCACATATTTATTAGTGTCAACCATTATTCCAAAACAAGACATAAGTACTGCAGCTTATGAAACAAAATCTCTCATCGAAGCTAAGTAACATCCGACCTCATTAGTTCATATTTATTTGAAAGACGAATAAATTTTAGTTAAAAATAGATTTAGATGAAAATGAAGAAAAAAACACACATGCACAGACATATCGGATTGATTTCTATGTGTGGTATTTTAGTTAACCCCTTCGCTTACCAGCTAATATCCAAATTTACGGGCCAAAAACGACACTAAGGTCGGCCGCACGCAGTGGCATAAACAACTTGGCTCGGCGTTCGAAACTGTACAAATCATGAAATTCCTGTAGTTTGTATATACACGTGCTCGGTACAATTAACTTTACAAGATGTTTGAAAAATAATTACATTTATTCTTAAATAAAACTGAAAATTGATTATTACAAATATATAAATTTATACATATAATTATAAATTTATAAATTTGTGCGAAAAGTATGTCACTACCACTGTCAGTACTACTGGTAGCAAAGTCATCACTGCTATGTAATTCATCACTAATTTTTTCTTGAAGGCAATATAGTGTGTATTTTTTTAAAAACTTCTTACAAACCATGTATGTATATGCTTCACCCAGTTTCGGAAATGTATTATTTATGTTTCGTCCGGTAGACTTGCGACGACTCTAAGGCGTCCTATTCGTGTTTGGACCGATAACCTTGCGACGACTCTGAGGCGTCATATTTGTGTTTGGGCCTAATACCTTGCGACGCCTCTGAGGCGTCATATTTGTGTTTGGGCGGATAATCTTTGGACGCCTTTGAGGCGTCTTTGTAAGCGAAGGGGTTAATTAATGGTTGTATATGAAAATCTCGATTTTATTTATGTATGATTATTATTTATTATATTAATCATGCATAAATAAAATAATAACAAATAATACATAATAATATATAATATAAAATATAGAAGATTTAATTGTAATTTGAATTGTTTTTAATTTAATTATCATTAATTGTTTTTAATTTAATTATTTTTTACAGCAATTTTTTGGACTAAATCTCAACTGTAGAACAATTTTCTTATTAATTACATTTTTTTTCATTCATTTCCTTCTGTGTTTCTTTTCCAGTTTTTTTTATTGACATGTTTGAACCGACTTCATACAAGTTTTTACTTACTTATAAATTATAATTTTTTTTCCAACTTATAACGCACGCTGTGCAGTACTGCTTGGACTATTAATAATTACATCCCTTTTTTTTTTTTTTTTTTTTTTTTTGCTTCTAACGGACTTAAACTATTTAAGTACTTAAACAAAAACCATGATACCATTCAATTACATTATCCTCAGACTCCAACTAGATTTCCTGCGATACCAAATCAAGACCATAGTACAATAGATTTAGCCCTTACAAAAAATCTATCTATTCTTTCTGAACCTATAACCAAATCTTTATTTAACTCAGATCATAATCCAGTCTTTATAAGTATCTCAAACCCACTTGACGACAATCCTCAATCCTACAAAAATGTTTTAGATTATAATAAAGCCAATTGGCTGCTCTATAAGAAAATAATAAATGATAATATATGTCACACCAGACAAATTGACAACAATGATAGTATAGATCAAGCTGTAGAACACCTAACAACTACTATTACTGATGCCATAAGTAAAACCATTCCATTGCGAAAGTCCACTTCAACACAAACAATTAGTTTACCTTTGGAAATTATATCCAAAATTAAATTAAAAAATCAAATTAAAAAGTTGTGGCAAAAATCAGGTGCCACGTTCCTCAAAGAACATGTAAACAGGCTTACTAGAATAATTACTGAGGACATTAGGGTTTATCGTAATAAAATATGGGCTGATAAACTAACAAATATTAACTATTATCCAAATAAAATTTGGTACACTGCAAAAAGACTGACCCAAACTTTTGCTCCCATACCATATTTACATACAAATTCCAATAACTTTGCAACAACGCCCGAACAAAAGGCCGAAATTTTAGCATCTAACTTCGAATTAGCACGTCAGTACAATCTTTCTATTACTCAAAATGCTTTTGAACAGACTGTTAGTTGCAGTGTAAGACAATATATAAACAATACTTATAACAAAAATCACAAAATAGAGATAGTAACTGTTGCGGAAGTTAGAAATATTATTAAGAAACTGTCTAATAAGAAAGCTCCAGGACCAGATGGTATACAGAACTTAGCAATTAAACAGTTACCTATTAAAGCTATTATTCTACTTACACGAATAACAAATAAAATTTTTAAAAATGGATACTTTCCTGTGTCATGGAAATGTTCTAATGTGGTACCAATATTAAAGCCAGGAAAACAACCAAATCTACCACAAAGCTACAGACCTATAAGTCTATTGAATACAATAAGCAAAATAGTTGAAAAATTACTGCTTGTTCGATTTAATAAATTTTTAAGTGTTAATAATATCATACCAGAAACGCAATATGGTTTCAAACATGGGCATTCAGTTCTTCATCCACTAGCACAGCTAGTTGAAAATACTGTACTAAATTTTAACAAAAAGACACACACTGGTCTTGTACTAATAGATTTTGAAAAAGCTTTCGATACAATTTGGACAGATGGACTGTTGTATAAATTAATAAATTTACAATTTCCACATTACATAACAAAAGTCATCATTTCATATCTTAAAGATCGTACATTTCAGGTTCAAGTAAATAATAATCTTTCAAATCCTAAACGTATAGTAGCTGGAGTGCCTCAGGGATCCTTGCTAGGACCAACATTGTTTAACACATATATATATATGATATCCCTACTGACAGCAAAACAAATACATTAACATTTGCGGACGATACTGCTGTGTTCACATCATCAAAATCAGTAGCGTTGATAGCTAACAAGCTACAAAATCACATAGATAATATAGCAAAATATGCAGAAAAATGGCACATAAAAGTAAATCCCATAAAAACGGAAGCAATAATTTTTTGGAAAGGAAATAAGTTGAAAGAAAAGCCTATAGAAATAAAAATTTCAGGACAAAAAATTAAATGGACAGATGAAGTTAAGTACCTAGGAGTAACGCTTGATAGGAAACTTAACTTTAATACACATATAAAAAAGAAATTGGCGCAAACATATGGGCTTCTGAATCTTTTAAGACCATTATTGAACACAAAGAGTGTATTAAATATGCGCAATAAAAGAAGAATATATCTAACGCTGATCAGGCCATGTCTAATGTATGCTGCCCCAATATGGAACATGACATCGAGGACAAATATTAAAAAACTACAAATTTTACAAAACAAATCACTGAGACTAATACTGAACCTGATACGTGACCCAACTACCGGACACTACTATTCAACAAAGCTCTTACACGAACAAGCAGACATACCGACTGTGATTAACCACATTAAGAAAATGACGGAAAACTTCTATGAAAAATGCAAAGACCATACCAATAATAATATTAGAACCCTCGGACAGTACACGCCTGATATCATATGGTACGGCAAATATCCAATGCCAAACTACATTCTGGACAACACAAATAAGAGTATCTAATAATTTAAAGAATGTAAATTAAATATATATTTAAAGATTGTGATTTTTTTTTTGAAGAATGTTTGAACTTTCTTTTTTTCGATCACAAACCATTATTTTATTTTTAAAACAAAATGTATAATTTAAAGTGGATAGTTTGTAGTATTAAATAAGAGTAAAATACTTTTAGTAGTAAACTCATAAATCATGGTTATTGTATATTGTATTGTAATATATTGTAATAAAACAGAAATAAAAACTAAAAACTTTTTGCTTCTGCGCCTCGGTGTGTCACAACCACCGCGCGTGAGTTATTTTCTCACTCGCCTTGAGATCCAAGAGATTTCGCACATTCTGTGGGCAATCCTCTCAATTATATTGCGATCGCACTGTTTGAGAGTCCCGCATATCGTTGATGCGGAGGACGCGTCGCCTGGATGTCCTCGTGGTGTCGGTGCGGGCAAAATTTTTTTACCCAAATTTCTTTCTTAAAACCTTTTCACCAAAATGTTTTTCCCAAAATTTAAAAAAATTGAATTGAGTGAAAAATGTAGTTTTTTTTGACATGTTTGAACCGACCTTATACAAGTTTTTACCGATAGATATAATTTTACTTATAAGTTAAAATCTTTTTTTCATTTATAACTCTCGCTATGCAGTACTGCTGATAAGTTATATATTTTTTACAACTTATAACGCACGCTGTGCAGTACTGCTTGGACAATTAATAATTAATTCCTCGACGAGGGAATTATTAAATCAATAAAATTCATCAATTTTAATAAAAATTTTTGGGGAGAAAAATTGGGAAAAATATTTTGGATCAAAAAATTTTGGGAAAAAAAATTTGGACAAAAAAATATTTTTCCCAAATTTTTTTTCCAAAATATTTTCCCCAATTTTTTTCCCCAAAAATTTTGATTAAAATTGATGAATTTTATTGATTAAATAATTCAATAATTGAGTGAAAAATATAGTTTTTTTGACTTTGACATGGCAACGGTTATCATGGCAACGAAAATCGCAATAAAACTTGTATTTAAACTTAATAAATAAACCAACATTTTTCCTTCAAATTTTTTTTTGTCAAAAATCAATCCAACTCTGA